TGGGGGAAGAAGCCTCAGACCTCAGAACTTGAGAAATTTAGGAAAGCAAGACGATAAATAGTCCAAATTCAGAAAAGACCAAAGAATAAAGCAAGACCTACCCTTTAACCAATTCTTATTTTCCTATTGACCAGTCCCTTCATAATTTCCTCTTTACCTGTCCTTAATCCGCCACCAATCACTTCAGCATCTCTTTCATCCGCACTCTCAGTTTAACCTCACATTGTCCTCGGTTGTACTTCCCCTACGGGTCTCCACTTGAGGTCAGTCAAGCTACTTCCTACTGAGTGTGTCCTTTGTCAGTAGTAAAGTGCAGATGATGGCTAATGGGTAGAGTTGGTGTGAGCATAAGATACAGCACACGCAGGTGGAAACAGGCCTCTCTAGATCACATCCTGGAAGGCTTGTTATTCACCTTCTTCGCTCACTCCAGGTACCCTATGGATTCACCTGCCCAAGTATCTAGACATGACAACACATAGAAGTGTTCTATGTAATGGGGCATTTACAATAGTAGTGAGAGATTGGTCAAGAATGACTGTACTCACACTGTATAATGAGAAGCCCATGAAGTTTATTGTGCATCAATATGGCAAAAAAAAAAAAAAAAAAGCAACGATAAAGGCTTTCTAGTGGATCTGAAATGTCTCTCATTACTTCTCACTATGGAGTCATGGATGACTGGGTCACCGTGGCTGGGGAAAGAATTCTGGTCTGATCAGAATGCTCTTGTCCCTCACTGAACACTCAGACTTCACTCGTTACGCCAAATGGCCACATGTTGTGGCACCTCCATCTCCGACGTGAGAGCTCTGAGGGTTTTCAGACTTCTGCTTTCTCTGTTTGGGATGCAGTTCTTGCACAAGCTCTCGCAATGGAGGAAGAGAATTAAAAGCACTTCTTACTTGAAGCGAAAATGAAAGATGCCCCATTGCCCAGAAATGCAGATGGTTGTGTAAAACTGTTTTACATTCTTTGGCAACTGCATTTTGGGAAATTAACATTTATATGTCTTATGAGCAACATAGCATTGAGTACCTGAGATAGGATTAGATTTGTTTATTTATTTATTTTGAGATAAGGTCTCACTCTGTCACCCAGGCTAGAATGCAGGAGCACAATCGCAGCTCATTGCAACCTCAAACTCCTAGGCTCGAGCAATCCTCCTGGCTCAGCCTCCCAAGTAGCTGGGACTACAGGTGTGCACAACCATGCCTGGCTAATTGTTTTATTTTTATTTTTGTAGAGATGGGGTCTCACTGTGTTGCCCAGGTTGGTCTTGAACTCCTGACCTCAAGCGATCTTCCCCCCTCAGCCTCCCAAAATGGCTAGGATTACAGGCACGAGCCACCACATCCAGCCTAATTTATTTATTATACAAACTTTTTAAAAAAAATGCCTATACTACAACCAGCATTGTTTTAAGCACCAGGAGTTTGGCAGTAAATTAGGCAAAGGCTCTCCCTACCCGAACTCACATTCTAGTGGAGGGGTCACAGACAATAATCAATGTCATTAATAATATGATATCAGATAGTAATAAGTCATAAACACAAAAAATAGAATACAAGGAGAAGAGGGAAGAGGGTGGCCTCTCTGAGGAGGTAACATCTGATCAGAGGCTTCACTGAAGGGAGGGAGGGACTCACGTCAAGATGTGGGAACAGTGCTGCAGACAGAGAAAGTGCACAAGGACCCTGAGGTGGGAGCTAAATTCAGGTGTCTCACAGGCCAGAAAGAAGGTCAGGAAGACTGGTTAGAGGGAGGTAGAGGGAAAGTGGTGGAAGAAGAGATTATCGAGGTAATGCAGGGCCAGAATCATGGAGGCAACGGAGTTCTCAGAGAGCAGTACCTTCCAGCTGAGTGTTTAGAAATTGATGAGAATGTTTTAGTTGGCGAAATGCTTTGGGGCACTACTAGCATTGCTGGATGTCAAGAACCACAAAGAGTCTGAGAATTCATCCTACTTGCAAGTTAGCCTGCCACAGTGTCGTGGGATCATGACTTCTGGGTCAGAGTTGAAGGATCGTTTGTTACTCATAACAATAGGAGTAGCCAGAGTGTTAGAATTTGTGCGGAGTCACAATTCCCACAGGGCGACATTGAGAGGGCCAGGTGGTACCCACGGTGGGTTGTTATAGGAGAGGACCCCTGAGCCTGGGAAACCCAAATCTTCTACAGTGGGCAGTAAGCACATCTGCCTTTTGCTCTGGAGAGAGACATTATTTCTATCTTCCAAGACTGTTTGTTACACAAGCATGCCTTAAAAATTCGTTTGCAACAAAATGCTGTTAGTGCCTTGCTCGTAAGACATGTAGAAACACAAGAGAGCTGTAGAGATTGTTTTCCACTTCCCAGTGGTGTCAGGGTCATGGAGGCTAAATATCCACAATTCATGGTGAAGAATTATCCCTCCCAAAATCTCAATTGTGCCTTCTTTTTTTTTTTTTTTAATTAGGGAACCACTCTTATGACCTCTTTTAATATTAATCACCTTGTTAAAGGGCCTATCTCCAAATAGGGCCACATTGGGGATAAAGGTTTCAACTGTTAATGGAAAAAAAACCCAAACTCTGTAAAATAACATAGAGAGGTTTATTCTGAGCCACATGCGTGTGACTGGAGCACACGGCCTTGAGAGGTGTTGGGAGAATGTGCCCCATGCCTTCTTTATGTAACAGGAAAGGTCTTTTAGCAAAGGGAAAGAATTTATTTCTGTTTTAAGTGTTGATAAGAAATTAGAAGAGAGTTTTGAGTAAGTTTTTACATCTTTAAAAAGATCCTTCTCACTGCCTACTGGTAAATAGAGTGAGGGTAAAGTTGGAGGCAAAAAGACTAGTTAGAAGACTAGTTAGTTATGGCAGTCCAGGTAAGAGGTGGTGGTTAAACTTAGAGAGAAGGGATAAGAGCTGGTAGTTAAAATGTAGGG